TCAGCCTCATATCAAGCAATCAAGATCAGGGCTATTGGTCATACTTCTTCAACAGAAAGTTTGTGATGACGAAAGCTTGGCATGGACTTGTTGAACTCGAATGTTTGGATATCCGATCACTTCGACTCTACAGGTTTGGTCTTTCAGTCTTGCAGGTGAAACAATGCCGTCTGCAACGTCCTGTGACTAGTTGCCTTGATTTCATCGACTGGATGACTGGTGATGTTTGGTACTGTGGCTTTTCCGGCACTTCAGGGTGAGACACATGCGATGTGAATCAAGCTGGTGATTGTGGCGCACTGGGCTTTCTGCGAGGCTCTCACTAAAATACACCATGTTGATCAATTTCGAAGGAATGAATGAGTAAGAAGCACAGTTTTCTTCTTTCTTTTAAAACAGAAGTCTACCGAAGTTTTGCTCCAAGACAGTCAGGATTCTGATGTCCTTGGCACCTTGTCCATGCCAAGGGCTTAGACGGGGCAAAGAACCGGTCCTGCAAGTGATACGGTGCATTTGGTTCCAACCTTTCCTACACAGCTACCAGAAGTGCAGCTGTGAACTTCTCCGTTCTGGGAGCAGACACCAAAGGCCGCACACACCCCAGCCTACACCTTGTCAATTTTTTTAAACCTACACTCTGCTTCCGGCAACCTATGTATGTAGAAGGGAAATACTCACGGAGATAGGCATGGCAAGAGCCAGCGCAGCAGAAACGAGAGCAATGACACGCATCTTGGGCAACGATCGTAAAAGTCCGAGTATGTGTTCGAACTTGGGCAAAGGGTGCTGGGTGCTGGCGTTGTTGATGACAAAGAAGGTATTGACACTGAATGACTTTGAGGAACTGTACTCTAGAAAGAGATTTTTCAACTTGGGAAGTCTTGAAGCTGAGTTTTATACACTTTCTCTCATCCGGATACTTATTCGAGAATGCCTTACATCGTCGTCGGAGACATAAGAGTTCGGCAAGAACTTGCTCCTTTGGTTCTACCGGTTCCGAGAAAAACGGGGATGACTCGCTCCGATTCGCCCGTACCCACCAACTAGCAACGGCGGTCAATGTCTCTAGATTATTGCCAAGATGGTGTGGCATTACCGTGTGCTCATTTGATAACAGATTGGACACAAGTGACTGACAAGAAAGTTAATCAATACTGTATCGAAGACTTCCCAGCTATACGTTTAGTTGTTAGTGGTTGAGAACATGGGCAATGTATGAGGCGTGCTCCAGATCGCCGTGATATTACATTACAAGACTTGCATCCATGAGATATTCCGTAACATACGGCTTCGACTGGTTGAATTGCACGTTCCTGAAGGGTGATGCTTGGCTGGACACAATTGGTAGACTTGAGCCAGCTGGATCAAAACTCTATGTTGTGGGCTGGTAGTAGATGACAGCAACCTCGCTACGGAACCCCGGTTTCTTGCGATGCAGGTCCCACAATGCCTGTCTTGTATCGGACGGGATAAGGTTTATTTAGTCTTGTCCATCTCAGATGCACGAACTTGCAGGGTGCGACTGCGTATGACTGGGCTTTCTTTGCTACAGCGCCTGTCGGGGAAACCCGTGGCTTTTCAAGAAGAAGCTCATGGCAGTACAAGCTGGGTGCATTTCGTACCAGGTCCTGAACCGTAACTAATTCGTAGCATGATACTGTGGATCTCGACATTGGCCAAAGTGATGCACCCAAACAGTCAGTGTTATTCGTTAGCCCGGATAACCAGACGAGGTAGCCCGGATCTGGAGATTTGTGCGGGTTCAAACGTCGCCTGGCCCAAGGTAAAGCGGCCAATTGCTGAACAAATCGTTTGGAAGTGTATACTGAGCAGTATTCAAAAGGTTCAAATCGTGTTGCGGATTCATGGCCAAACTTGACGCCAAGAGATCGAATCCATTTGTCAAAGGAGGCCCCGTCATGTCGGCCAGCGGTTGATCCATTGAATACGACAGTCCGCTTTGCTGGTTGAATGGAGTTTGTAAATTCTGCAAGAACGAGGAATCGACTCGGCCCGAGAAAAGTGTGTCTGGCCTTTCCCAAGTAATGCCTCTTAAGTCCAGATTGGAAGATGGAGACTGTGAGATATCCGGTCAGAACCATATCAACAGACTTAAGATTGGAGGAATACAATCACGATATAAGCGACGCTGGCATTACCTCTACATTATCGGGGAGATTCATTTGGAGAATGTTGGAGCGCTGAGATAGCAGCGTCCGCCCTATCATAGAAAGGCCCCCTTCAGGATTTCTTTGGGACAGTTGTTGCATGCACTTGTCGATTCGATGCATCTGAACACGAAGCTTTGCAGCCAGTCCGGGTGATGAAGATCTGGTTGCCTCGACTCTCTCAAGAAATTCGGCCAAGACGAGAAGTATGTTTCTGACGTGCAAATAGGTCCACGCAGATACAGGCTGTTGTATAACACCGGCGAGCATATGACCGACTTGGGCCAGATGATGTAGCTAAACTGACGTCAGATTGTCATCAGGCTTTTCACTTCTCACGAGGAGGACTTACGGTTACTGTGCTTGAGGCGTGAAAGAATGCGAGGGGTATCATGCTTATCTCGTCGAGAAGCTCGGTTGCAATGGCGCAATGCAAGTGTACACTTGGCTTCTCGCTCCCCACCAGTACCATCCTCGGCGTTTGAAGCGTGAGCAAGATGTTGGAAGCTGCGAAAGTTTCCTCACATGTATCAGCATTCACAAATCGGTAGGTAGTATATAGAGCCGTGGTGGATGGGATCCATACCAATGAATCCCAGCCGATCTTTCTGGGGATCTCCTGTGATGGCTTTGATACGCTTGAGATCATCAGGAAGGCTCTCGTATAGTTGAGCTAGAAGCCTGAGGCTGTCTGCTGCTAACACTTTCGGCGACTGGCGACAGGTCAGGAAGGCTGTGACTTTGCTCCCAGGACTGTCCACAGATGTTTGTCTATTTAACCTGCTGCATGCATCAATCTGCTCCAAAATGCGGTAAAGATCGGTGCAAAAGTTCCAGCCCTGGAGAAACGATGTTGCTTCCGCTGGCCTTTGTTGTATCCCGTTCGGTGTGATATCTGTGTCATCATATACCTCGGAGGGGTATTGTACAGCCGCTTTGGCTTCTCTGTGTCTAGAGATGAAGCCAAACATTTTGGCCAAGTGTTGGTCATGCTGATAAGAACCCCAGAACTTGGTGGAACAGGTCAGTGGTAAAACTTCTGGCCTTATTGGGAGATTGTACTCCGGGATCATGCTTACCAGACGCCTTCGCTCTTGCTTCTCACATCCGTTCAGATCCTGTGGCCAATTTGCTTCGTCATGGAAACCGCGGCTCACCGACAAAGAGACATAGTCTCCTCCATGAAATAACGCCTTTTTGAGTTGTTCATTGTGAAGACACGCTGAAGCCAACAGCGACTTTGCTTTCATCAACGAGTACCAATCAGCAACTTCCGTGAGATCTTGTGGTATGACCTTCATGGCCGCGTCGTAACATTCGGTGGACTTCAAGCTAGCTTCAGCGCGCAGATCGAGAAGACCGGACGGTATTGAAATTCCGTCATTCAGCCGCCCAGCTGCAAAGCAGCAGACTGCCATCGTCATGATGAACACACCCCATTCGGATTGATACTTCTTTGCTCCACCTGGGATCTGAAAGTTGGCCAATGAAAATACGGCCGTCTGGCGTCAATAGGTTAGTTGAGCGTCTAGCCTAGGAGATACCTTGCATGACCGGGACGCTGCACCTACAGAGGATAGCCAACGTAGTAGAACACATCTACGAGTCCTTCGATAACTTCATGCTCGAGTGTGGTTTGAAATTGTGGGGAGGAATCTCCGTCGTTGTCTGTAAGGTTCCGCGTTTCGTTCCCGATGCCTTCATCTTCTGGGGTGAGCACAACGGGAGCGTCTTCTGGTGATAAGCGATTAGTCTCCGCACTCTGGACATCATCATCGGCAGGTCTGGACCTCTTCGATGATGGCTAAATATTGACAGGTCAGTACTGCTAGGATGTACTGCTAGTACTAAAATGCTAGGTGGCTTACACCGCGTCGCTTTTTGGGCCTGGTGTATGTGCATTCGGAACCGATCTCGGTACAGCGAATGCATGTTATGCCTTCTACTCCTGGAGAACACTAACTCATGAGGTTAAGATGAAACCCTGTGTTACTCGAGGGGGAGCATACCTTCGAAGCATTCTTGTGACATCGATCACAGGCACGCTACACTGATGGATTAGGATCATCAAAACCCTCGAGAAGTATTCCGGGAGACTGACAGAATTCCGTTTGCGCTTCGGTCGACTCGGGAGCTCCTGGAGGACAGAGGACCTGGCTCGTTCTACGTCTCCTGCGAGTGCCTGCATGGCCGGCATGACACAAGAAGTATAAAATGGTGGTGATATTTGAGATAGGGTCGAGCGGAGACGATGCCGGGAAAGAAACATGAGGGGAAGTCGGGGACCTAACCTGGGGTTCTTGGGGAAATATGAGACGGACCCGCTTACTGACGATTACGTAATTGGCTTCTTACCGAGAGAAACAGCTGGCTCCCTTGACATCGATGACTGCCCGTCCTTCTACAATTCATGTTCTTATCCGAGTTCTGCATAAAGGTTCGCAGTAATTTTGGTGCAGTCAAAACATTTCTAGGTTGAAACTTTTGCTATATCCGAAACGGCGGTGCGTGATCGAAGATGTGTTTTCTAGGCGGTATGCCTCTGCGATCAGCCAGTTGAGGGGCGTTGACTTGGTCCAATGCTCAATAACCAGGAAGTCTGACAACCATGACAACCTCAAGAAAAAGCAATGTATTAACTTGAATCTTCATGCGACTATCAGCGAGTTCATCAAGGAAATTACATTGAAACGGAAGATTGGGCTATTTTCCATTGAAAATGACAGGAAGGACAACACGACGTCGATCTAAGCTAATTACTACGTGCCAACCAAATCCACCGGCTCATCTTGTAGCAATTGTGCCATATTCTTGTAATCTGCATAATCATGCCTAGTATGATGCAAGGCCAGCAAGCTGTTTTCCTCGAAGCGTTAGAACGGGCTCCTGAAGAGGTCTCTCGACGGCTTGCTGGTAGCTATGGTGAGTGTCCGGGGGAAGTCGGGGGGTAAGGCGAATGATGGAAGGATCATGGGCGGTGCAGTCCTTATTCTTCCAGGCCTCCTTTCGCTTCTCCTTGGCTTCGTTGGAGACCATGGAAACAGGCTTGTAGCAAACGTCTTAAACCATTGTGTTAGCAAATGTATCGTGACACCGAGCCCCTGGTGATGTCTCAAACTTACATGCAGCAAATCTGTCGTCAGCTGAAGATGGAGCAGCGCCATAATGAACCGTTCGCTATGTGGCAGACTCATGGTCAGTGACTGCCACCCATGAAAGTTTTGGGATGTCGAGCAAAGGAACAACTCACCGAGTCCCAGAGGAGAAGGTCACCCGGCTCGCAACAAACCTTCACCCACTTGCATCCCTTGGATTCGAGCCAGGAGCACATTTCCTCGTCCAGGAACTGCTGCTCCCAGGTATTCCAGCCATTTTCGCCCTTCTTGTGATCGAAGTGCTGCCACAGCTCCGCATAGTACTTGCTGGAACCTTCCAAAACCATGAGGCCGCCATCATCAGGCCCATTAGGAAGCAGGTTCAGAATGCCCTGTACACACTGTAGTCCGGTTCGCAGAGGAGACTGGTCCACGTGCGACCATGGTGCGAAGATGGGATCGGTCTTTGGCCGCTCGGAGACAGGCAGTGAGAGATTGATACCGTCTAAGTCCATGAAACGTTACGTCAGGAAATGCAGCAACAGAGAACATAATAGTTATCTTACCGTAGGACACGAGCAACTCATCCGTACCCCAAACACGCGCGAACTTGTCAATGAGGCTCGGTTCCGACTTCAAGTCCCACATAAACTGCTCATGGGCCACTCCGAAGCTAATTCCATGATTGACTTGTCAGCGAGATTGTGAATGGCTCAACATCAATGCAAACGAACATACCGGTTGAAGATACCAGCACGGTGCGTGAAGGGCAAGTGGGCGGGCCCTCTTGTGGCGGGGTCCGTTCTGTTAAATCCGTAACCCCAGTCCTCCAGCCAGGAGTAGGCCTTATCAGCGTATTTCAAGGCCTTGTCCTTAGGGATGGTCTCTGGGACAATGGTCCAGCCCTTCGTCCGGAGTGTCTCGAGCCATTCCAGGTCCTGTACGATGCTTAGAATGGCCGTCTTCAAAGTGGACATAGCTTGCTCATGTGCGGGTATTTTCGACCGAGGACGTGGAAGGCTCGCATACCTGAGAATTCGGGCTGTTATCAAGACAGGCAGTCGACGGCAATGTCGCGGTAGAAACGAGGACTTCGGTAGAAGACATGGTGTTAGGTCTAGTGGGGACAATGGAAACGGGCTTGATGCACAAGATTGAGCAATCTGTGAGCTGCGGAACGGCAATGTCTCTTAATCCAAAATACACTCGTGCTGCATTTTCATATTTTAAAATGATAGAAAGACCTTGATCAATCAATTAGCGACTTGATACACATGCATTCATGCTAGGACACCCGTTCTCTCGCCCAGTGTTGGTGGCGTGGTGACTACCGGCTTCGAAAGGGTGGGTCGAGTTTAGCAGGTTTAGCAGGTTTAACCGAACTTCAACACAAAAAGATTTAGCCGGCGATTTAACAGCAAGACTCGTCGCTCCGCGGCCTCTAATGCGTCCGCCACTGTAACGAGAAGTCGCCGAATCACATACCGAGCGCAGGCAGTGATCTCATGCGTTTTCTCTCTGGCGCCCTGTCCCCGGGATCTTTGGACTCAGATGCATGGCCATTTTCCCGTGGGAAAGAGCATGGGCAGAGATGAACGCCTAAGGATTAGTTTGTGAACAGATTCGGACAGTGGGCTACTACGTATGTCTCACTGAAGCCATCGAAAAGTCAGCTTCGTGAAAAGTTCTTAGCTGCCGTTGATCTTTCCCAACCATTACCCGCATACAACAGCGTACAGGCAAATACATCTTCCAAAGGGTCTTCGTCAAAATATTGAGTCGCGAATCTCGACTCGGAAGAATCGATGCTTTGATTGACAGATTGAAATGGCAGCAAATATGGCACATCATGCATCCATGGCCGACTTCAATGTCTGAATTCTTTCACTCTGGGATCCCCAAGACATATTTCATTGCAATATAGCATAATACAAAGCTAGATTATTGTTCCGGAGTCTTATGTTTCAAGAATAATGTCAATTCTACTGCGCGTTCGCCAGCCTAGCTCTAATTCCTAGACCTTTCTCAGCGAGATAATATTGACATTGAGCTTGTTGATCAGATTGTCCCGCATCACCTCGGCAGCCTTGATCCTGATGTCCAGCAAACTTTCCGGACTCTGGTAAGCGCTGTGTGGCGTCACCACCATTCGTCCGACAAGCCATGGTTCATGGTTGCGATACGCCTGTAGAAGAGAGTGAATGGGACCCTCCGCCGGAATCGGCTCGTCTGGAACGACGTCCAAACCCACGCCGCCGAGGATGTTTTCTCTCAGACATCGCTCTACGTCGTCGAGATTGACAACCTCGCCTCTGGCGGTGTTGATCAGTAATCCGCCTCTGGGCATGAGACTGAGCAACTGGTAGTTCACGAGGTTGATGGTTTGCGGAGTTGCTGGGCAATGCACGCTAATTGTGGAGCTCCTCCGGAAGAGCTCATTGATATCGCGAGTCCGATCTATGCCCAAGGCCTTGTCGATTCCATTTGGCGCAAAAGGATCATAGGCAAGGACTTTCCAACCAAATGCCTTTGCCCGGAGAGCAACTGCGGTGCCGATCAGACCAAGTCCCAGAATGCCGAAGGTGGCGTTCTGGATCCTGGAGATGAGGGGAGTGTCGATGGGGCTCCAAGCTGCAGGCGGATTTCCCCGTTGAAGATCATGGTGGTGGATTACACCGCGACGAAGGGACAGCGCGAGTGCCATTGCATGGTCAGCAATTTCACCCGTCCCATAATCTGCGCATGTCAGATCCAGCGCTCAAAGGTACTGCCGAATTCAATTTTCACCTGGAATGTTGCAAAGCACCACGCCTCGTTTGTCGAGGGCAATGCGATCCACCTTGTCATAGCCGACGCCCATGCGAACGAGCCTGAGTCCCCAGGATTCTTGCGTCAGACCTGGGTCATAACTAGTTGAAAGCACTTGCCGAAAAACTCACAATTTGAGATTGGGGAATAATTCCAGATCTGCAGCGGTGAACTCTGGCTTCAGTATTGAAATTCCATCGACCTTATCACGAAGGCTCTTGTCGATAGTCGACCATGGTTTGTAAGTCGGCACTCCTGCAGGCGAAAGATGCCCTTGATGATAGTTCACGGTGTAAGATTGATCCTTCGACCTGAGAATCTCTTGCTCCAGGTTGTCGTCCTGTTTTGTGAGCTTTAGCGGCTGTCAAATGTGAGGTCAAACACCAACTTACAGGGTAGAGTCCATCGGCGTGAAGGATTGTGTAAGTCGGACGCGCGTCATTCGCAATTTGAGACCCCATGTTTTCCAAGTAACCTGGTGCGGTTTGGACGAAAGTCAAATACTTGCAGGGAGGCAGATTGTCACCGTGCCCAGTCAGATTACACTCAACGAGCACATCATATGTCACTGTCAGTTTCCCACTGTCCTTTAAATCGGCCATTGCACAGGGACACCTCCGATCATTCGGTTAAATTTCAGTGACGGCTTGGAGTTTCGCGACCTAAAGCGGGCCTTCACCAAGCCCCAGAGGGCCGGTTAAACTAAAGCCAGCGTCCGCGGTTAAACCCAGTGAGCCACGGCCTAACAGTGTCTCATTCCCGGCGTAAGGCCGCTGGCCATGGAAAAAATCAGGCTTGATTTTAAGGTGTTCAGTAGCATCTAATGCCCTGTTCCCCTCTAGACAGAAGTATCTCAACAAGAGCATTTTTTCGACAAACCGCTGCCACCGTTGCTCTTTGTCCGCTTACCAGGTCGCCATGGCGTTTCACATCGAGAACATTTTCAGTGTCAAAGACAAGGTTGTCGTTATTACTGGCGGAGGTTCTGGCCTTGGAAAAGGTCCGTGGCTCCATGAAGGTACATGAACTAAACTGACCAGCACGGGCAGCACTTGCTGAAGGCTTTGCTCAAAATGGCGCTAAGGTTTACATCACTGGTCGGCGTGCTGAGGTGTTGAATCGTGCTGCGAAGGAATCTTTCTTCCACAGCCTCTGAAGGCGGCCAAGTGATTCCGTAAGAAACGCCGGTTCAGCGCTGGTTGACTACCTTCCAGATCCAAAAAACTAATCAAAATGTAGAATTCCAGGGGATGTCGGGACAAAGGATGGATGTGCCCAACTGGTGGAACAGATTGTACAGAGAGAGAAACATGTAAGAAGAGTACCACTGGACCCAATTGTTGTCTGGAGTTCTGCCACTGAACATAGCAAGATCGAAGTTCTCATCAACAATGCTGGTCTCCCAGGATCGATCACCTATCCTGCCTGGGATCCTAATGATGGTATGCCCACTGAAAATTCGCCCGACTTGCAAACACTGACATACTTCTCCAGCGGATGCTGTCCAAGAGGGTCTGTGGAAAAGTCTCGATGAGTATGAATTCACAACGATTTCGTGCATTCCACTGCCCGCTATTGATCGCTAATTAACAATGTCCAGCGATTCTTTCGCCAGCACAAACAGCGGTATGACACCCACCCAAGTTTTAGTTCAGCGCTGTTTCTAAACACCATTCAAGTCAACATCAGCGGCGTCTACTTCACAACCGTGGGGTTTGTGCCACTTCTGCGCAAATCTCCAAATCCGAGTGTAATTGTCATTGCATCCCTGGCAGCAGTCATGAATCAACGGTGTGTACTCAATGATGCCGCAACCTACTATTCGACGTTGACGAAATGCTTGCAGAGCCATGGGAACTCTGGCCTATGCCACTTCCAAGGTGAGTACACCCTAAAATTGTGATGCATTGTACTTACATCATGAATAGGCTGCGGGTGAGTACTGATTCAAGAAGTTGCATCATAAAGAGCGATACTCTAATCTAACCCTGATAAGCCTTGCATTTGTCTAAGCTCCTCGCTGGCCGCTTTCATCCGTATGTCGACTGCTCGTCATTCTCCGAGGCGAAAGAAACAGAATGCCCTCGCAAGACTTATCACTGACACTTCTTGCTCCATCTTAGAATGAAAATACGGGTCAACGCCGTCCTTCCAGGCATCTTCCCGAGTGAGATGACCACCACGAACAAGTCAAGCGCTTCTGCTTCTTTGAATCACTTTGCCACCGCGGCGGCCAAGCGTTCCACAGCTGGTGAGTTGGTGCACATCAGTTGGATTAGCTCTCTTACTGATTTCCTGTAGGACGCGCTGGACTTCCGGAGGAGATTGTTGGGCCTTGCCTGATGCTCTCCTCCAAGGCAGGCGGATACATGAACGGCGGCTGTATCATGGTAGATGGGGGAAGAGCTATGGTACGTATTAAAGACCCGATGGGTTTACGGCTTCTAATTGACCTGCTCTATAGGGAGGATCGATCAATGACGGCATCCGTATGCCCGAGGATACGTACTTCTATTAGAGTGCTTAGAGTGTACGGCAAATACTGCCCAGACATGGATCAGGGGAACGATACTCTTAGTATTAGAAACTGATTATCAGATTTCAGTCTTGCTCCAGTTGTCTTGGACTCGTTTCACCGTTCTTTTGTGACTCTTGAGTTGCGACTCCATCACACAGCCTACCCTCATGTTGAACGTCAATCACAGACTTGCGAGGAAAATGGCTTGAGAACTCAACTAGTACGAAAGTTGCGTGAAGATGGTTCATCTTCTGTACCCCTCTATGAGTCACCCGATTCTACATACATCACTCTTAAAAGCCCTCGCCCATCGTCAGGATGAAATCGCTAGAATGTTGCTGATTGTCATCGAAAGTAAAAGTCGGTAACTTGAAGATATTCACACGACATTCTGGACCGTAAATAAAACATCTGCCCAAAGCTTGCGTCGAACCTTCAAACGTGAATGTTTTCAGACGTGAGATTTCATGTTGCAATAAGCACGAACGATGCTTTTAGACAGGTCTCACAACTCTATCGCTAAACTCTATGGCTAGAATCCGCTCATATTTTGATGAACAGAAGAAGCTCAGACATGACATTTGATTTCATTTGGCCATAGGGGTGAGAAATTTTAGTAGCCCTGCCTCTGGTGTATCTTTTGTCCCTCCGCATTCGCAGTCCTAATATCGCTTGCCATGCCTCTCTTGAGCACACCAACATCAGTATTGACAGATATCATATCAAACCCTTGCTTGGCGCGTGTGAGAGCATCAGCCCCGTCGGTGCCTTGGAACGTAATTAGCCGCGGTGCCCACGTAGCCTCAAGAGAACAGTGTGAGATGTAATAACTTACAGAAAATGGCGCACTTTTTGTTGGCCGCGTGCGCAGCATTCAGTGCTTTCTGAATCGCCGCCTCGTGCTCCTGACCACCGCGCTCTACGCCCATCTGCTTCGAAAGATCGAACGGACCGATGAAAATGACATCTACGCCGTCAACTTCGGCGATCTTTGCTACATTTTCGACACCTGCGCGAGACTCAATCTGCACAGCAACAAGAACGTCTTGAGCGAGAGTGTCGTATTCAGCTCCAGGCTCCGTGCCCGGGAAAGCATGAGGAGCAAACATTGGTCCGTAACCTCGAGTGCCTAGAGGAGGGTACTTGGCATACGACACAACTTTCGCAGCATCGGTCTGAAGGTCAATCTCGCGTCAGCACAGATTCAAGGCTGTGGATCAAGAAATGGCTCATGATGTGGAATTGATAGCCATAGCCACTTACCTCTGAATGACACATTGGAGTCATCACACCATGTGCTCCGGCATCAAGAGCTCGCTTGATCATCCATTCTTCTCCTGATGGAACCCTAATGATAGGACTAGCGCCTTCGTGACCGACGGCATTCACGAGCTATGACAAGTGTTAGGCCGCAGGCATGAAGATACCCACCGTGGCTGTGGGTGGGTGTGCAACGAAAGCCCCCAGCGCCCGACTTACATCATAGTAGTGCACATCAGAAATCAATCCGTGTTCGGCGTCAACCAGTGTCCATGTGAAGGGCACAGAAACCCCGGAGTCTCCACGAAGAATTGTTTTCGCAACAGCAGTGCTCGGAATACTATTTAGGCGCGTCAAACATGATCACTTTTTCCTCTGCAAATTTGCAAAGAGAAATAAAATGTGAATGCAGTAGTGAAGTAGGTATTCCACGTACGTGAGCCAAAACCCAAAGGCGGGAACCTTGCTTTGGAGGACCGACTTGATGGCAATCTTCTGGCACATGTTGACCAAGTTTGCGATCTTCAATGACAAAGTTTCTTTGATAATTGATAATGTACGTCGGACAGTCTAATCAAGACGACAACTATGTAAATGATGGCGAACAGTTTCGGCGTGACGACATAGCCATATCCGGAACACGTTCGGAAAATAACAGCCGGCGGCACTTTGGATTTTAACGTAAAGGCAAGGCTCGCTGCCTGGATTCCCTTCTCGTTGGGGCAGTCGAATGTGATTTTAACCGTTCGTCTTCTTGCCGGCGGTTAAACTCCGACTCGTCCCAAAGGCTCAGCCGGAAAGCCCATCCCAAATATTGCTTGGGCAGGAATTAGTGCCGGTCCAATGCCCCCGTGGGGTTTTCCAATTGCCCCGTGGGGAAAACACCAATGTTTCCACAGTTCCAATCACCTCTTAGCTTGTCGTCGTACTTGGTACATAAAGTTATGGTAACTCGCTGGAGAACAGCCAATGCCGGAGACACGTCCACGGCCTACCATCTGCAACGTTCTCAAACATGCCTTCGGAATCGGAAAGTCCTACATATGCCGCCCATCGCAGTACGTTGATATGACTAGAACAGGTCGGATTAAGGTTGACTCCGTTTCGCGCAGATAACACGAACCCTTGCTGGTGGAAAGACTCAGGTCTACGATGGAGCGTCTTCTACAATTTTGGATGCATGTTATGCCCGTTCTATCTTGGCTGTAAGCTGCTCATTGCACCATATCTCGAGTGATTTTGTATGACTGACGACCAATCTGTTCAGATGATCAAGGCCTCTTAACCGGCCTCCAAGCTTTACCATCGTGGAACGAGTACTTTGATCATCCCCAGGGACAATGGCTAGGCATCATCTCAGCCTCAATCTTTCTTCCTGGTGTTGTGATGGGATTTCCATCTGCCTGGATCTGTAATCATTGGGGCCGGAAAACATGCATTTTGCTTGCTTCCATCTTTGTGATCGCGGGAGCCATTTGGAATGCTTTGTCGCGCAACGTTACCCATTTCATAATCTGTAAGACTACTCGGACTTTCTGCTCATTCTCAATCGTTCTCACAATCATTCAGCCAGAGTCACCATGGGAATCGGTGGCGCGATGGTCAAAGTCAGCGCACCGGCGCTTCTGCAAGAGACGGCCCATCCGCGCCTACGTCCCACCGTGGGTTCACTGTACTATGGTTGCTACTACATTGGCTCCCTCCTTAGCTCGATCATGTGCAGTAAGGCTTCCTTGTCCTCCCAAAGATGACACCTTGCTGATTATTCTGTTTCGTTAGTCATCGGTCTCAGTGTTCCAGGTGACTGGAGCTGGCGGTTTCCCTGCCTTTTGATACTGGTTGGACCGGCTGCTGTTCTATCAGTTCTCGCCACAGCTCCCGAGTCCCCAAGATTTCTGCTACTCAAGAGCCAGGAAGACAAGGCGCTGCAAATGCTTGCGATCATGCCAACGGCGACATCAACGATGAACTCGTGCAATGGGAGTTCCGAGAGATGAAGGAAGCCATCAAAGCAGAGGCAACAAGTCACAAGACCTCTTATGTAAGTCGTGGACATTCCAAGATTTGTGTCTGTATTCATTAACCTGACTCTCTCTAGCTGGACTTCTTCCGTACAACCGGTAACCGTAAGCGTCTGTTCGTCTCTGCAGTGATGGCAATCGGCGTCAACTGGGTTGGAAATGGAATCGTTGGATAGTAAGTAAACTACGATCTTTCCATATTCTCGCCACACATGTTTAACTGAAAATAGCTATCTCGCGCCTGTTCTGAGGTCTGTCGGTATTTCGAAGCCCCAGAACATTCTTTCCGTCAATGCCGGACTCGCCGGCTGGAATCTCATCGTGGCCGAGATCGCTGGCCTATACGTCGAAGATTTTGGCCGCCGTCCTATCTTCTTTGTATCGATGATAGGCATGATAATTAGCTACTCATTTGTGATGGGATTCTCTGCCGGCTTCGCTGAAACTGGCACAACAGCCCTTGGGGTGGCCGCTGTCCCTTTCCTCTTCCTCTTCTTCGGCTCGTACGACATCGCCTGGACGACGCTCAACTACACTTATGTCGCCGAGCTAATGCCTTTCAGCCTGAGAACCAAAGGCCTTGCCATCTACCTTTGCGTCCAGCAGCTTGGCAATACTTTCAACCAATTCGTCAACCCGATTGCTCTGCAGGCGCTGACGTGGCGCTACTACGCCGTCTACATTGCGGTGGACTGCCTCTATGTCGTCATTATCTACTTCTGCTTCCCTGAGACAAAGAAGATGTCTATTGAGGAGGCTTCGATGATTTTTGATCATGGGTGGGATGGTCGAAAAGCGGTGATAGTCTTGCAAAATGCCTCCGAAAATCACACGATCATAGCCAAGGCGTCCACAGGATCTTCTGAGCATGTCGAAGCTACGATGGTTAAGATGTGAGCTGGTTGGACACCGAACCATGTACATGTACTTCACTGTTTGTATATGCTTTTAGTAAGACTCGAAAATCCTGGCAGCCTGCGTCGAAGAATGGATTACGAATCGGTCCAAGGGTCGGTTTTGGCTGAGACCGTAGGTCAAGATGCAATATGTTCTTCATTACAGAGAGACAGGCCAGGAAGCTTGCAGTCTGAGGGTGTGTTGAAGGGGAGAACTTCTACGTGATCGCTGCGTGGTTGAGCTGGGATCATGGATGAATAGGGGCACGCAAAGATATGGAAGCTGCCTCTGCTCGGAATATCATAGCTCGAGGGAGGATGTGGGAAATTTTAAAAAAGAAATGCGTCGTCCTATTGAGCACCTGCACACATTCACGGGTTGTCTGATACTCGTAGCGAAAACGCAAGGAGCATTGCCGAACACCTCTCAGCACATGAATAGTAGTGAAGAACATGGAGGATATTTATAGTGTAGCGGATACCTCCAACGAGGCCTGGATAGGTGCCTCATAAAGGAGCCAAAGCTCTATCAAGCATCCCAAAAGTTTTGAGTGGCTCATTATAGCCAGTGATAAACCACAGAAATCGGGCATGAAAACACCCACAAAGTACAATTTGACGTGGCAAATTACCGATGGTGCATGTGAGGGGAGCCCATGGGTGTAGTGTTGTTTTCGGGGACGGGGGAGTCGCGTCCTTGCTGATGGAAATGCTGTTGGTCGTATGGTGTCGGAGATCCCATCTCACTTCGCGCTGTCGCGACTGATGCATCCAGTTCCGAGTATCTATGAAGGTTCCCAGAATGGAACTCTGACTCTCGGGGCGATGTGCTGTAAGGCGGCTTGTACAGGCCTGGTGAAGAGGTGATGTAAGAGCTTCGGGGGTCTGTACCGGTGTGCTGAGGCTCGACGAGGGTCTGGGCAGGTGTGTGAGGCTCTGCTGGCGGTGGTACGTCCGGCTTCTCAGACAGTTGACGCTTAAGCGACTTGTTCTGCTTCCACAGCCAAAACGTTGAGATAAGACCGGCCAAGAGACAGACACCAGCTACGACAGCGAGACCAATAGTGGCTCCCTTAAAACCATCACCGTTGCCGGTGCCATTGCCGTCCGTGGTGTTCGCAGTACAGACTGATTCCTGGGTCTGAATTGAGATCGCTGCATCGGTGCCGCAGCAGGTTGTGTTGGATGCTCCGCAGCAATACTTGGCTGTGCCGTCATTACAAGCGGTCAGAATAGTCGAGTTGGAAGCGCTTCCGCCAGACTGTCTTGAGTTAGTACATCTGAGTTGAATAATTCCCCAAAGATCTAAGACCGTACAGATTCATCCGTGCAGATGTTGACGCAAGCCTTACTCTTCCATGTCTTGTCCGTACAGAACCCTCTCTGTGGTTGCTGTTGCTTGTTGATACACAGGCCGGATGATGAGCAGATATCTCTTTCGTCGGCCGGGCCGTCGAGAGCGCAGCAGCTAGAGAAGACGCCGGACTGGGTGATTCCGAGCTTGTTGCATGGAACGTAGGTTTCATTGTTGGCAACTGAACCGTCTGGCGCGTAACAGGCAACTTCTTGTGCTGAAACTGTAGCAGCAAGGCTCACGGCCACTGCTAGTAATGGCACCAACATCGCGGCGATTAATTCGGCTGGTTCGGATCCGTCGAGAGACCGGGCGATGGCGCACAGCGATCGAGTGTGGGACAGAAAAGAGAACGGAAGAAGAAAAACCGAACCAGACCAATTTCAATCAATCAAAATGGGGGGCCTGTCTGTCTTTATGAGAAATACAGTAGCACAGAGCTGATCACCTGTACGCCGCCTGCCTGCATATCCGGCGCATCCTTCCCACTCTCCTCCTCGCTCTTTTCCTCAAGCCTCGCTGCATCTCACCTCAGATGACCGGGGTGGGCTCCATCTTACACGCATAGAAAATGCTGGTAGCTCAACATACGATATCAGCACCTGCAGCCAACAAGCCCGTCAGCTGTCTGAAATAGGCAAGCGAGATGCAATGGCTGTGAACCCCTGCTCAACCGAGCCACTCAGAGGCATGGATGGCAGCAGGCTGCAGCATTCGGCCAAATGAAAAGACCTTTCCAACACACAATTGAAGACAACCAACACAGCGGATTATTCACCAAAACTGGGCGGCTGTGTCCGAGAGGGAGGGGCACAATGAGGGGGCTCGGGGCAAACCGACATTGTGAGGGTGGCCACCGGACGCAATGATACGCTGGGATGGGCCGATTGGCACCGTCGGATTGAGGGGTTCGTCAATGAATCTGTGAACTATTATTTACGGATCTGAGTGTTTTCTTTAGTCTGCGCCAGGATCGTTCTCATCTCATCAGATAATTCCTTTAATCTTGCATGCAGCGTCTGAGTAGGTACAAGGAGTCGGCCTCATCACAACGTCTCTACAAACTGCGCTCTGAAAATTTAGCACCGCCCCCAATCACATTCTAATGTAAGAAACAGGTGAGTTGAATTATCCCCCAATCATGATCCCATGGGCAATGTTCCATTGCAGCTACACCATGTTGATCATTGAAAAGCCACCTGGCTTGGCAGACCACACAGGCGATTCGCCCAGAATTCTGTGATCAGGCTATCGCACCGGTCAGCTTACTTGGCACTGAGGAGCTGTCAATTGAGTACAGCGTCGCACCGACTCAGAGATGTTCTGAATTTTGACTCAATGCGCGTCAGAGCAAAGTTGGTGACGCCTCTGAAATAGTGCAGGCTCTTTCTATGCTATGAGAATCACATTTCACAAGCACACTAGGTATCTACGTCGACAATTTCTTCACACCAAGGAGAACAAAATCGCTGTTCCCTGATTTTTGAGAAGTCTCCAGCTTCTTTTAACAGTTGCAATACTTGTTAATCGCTCACGGCAATAGTTGATGTTTATTGGTTTGCTCTGAAAATGTAATTGTCCGCTGAATCCATTGTCCATGGCCTGTCATCCCTCCATGAAGAAGAACTTGGTCTGAGGTGCCAAGCAACACGTGCCAAGCTGGTGTAGATGCTAGAGAATACGTGATACAATCGTATGAAAGGTAACCTAGCAATACCCAGAAGGCGGTCTAGCTGTTTGGTCACTTAAGCACTACGACGTTTGCTGTACCTTGGCACGCTACCTCATTTGAAGAACCTAGGCAAGAGACTATCCGAAAATGACGATGTGAGTGGAACATACATATCCTCAGAATAACGCATGATAAATGTACATCAATGGGCGCAGTAGACATGTACGACAAGTTCTCGACTTCGTAGCCTTGTTAACCGACGGAACGACAATACATATATTTGACAGGGTGGTGGTAACCATTATACACTCAATCATAAAGCCTGATATTACACAAATACGCTACAAATAAAGAAGCCAGTTGGATCATGCCGCCCACCTAGTCAAAGTCTTCTCAGCTTTAAGCTGTCCCAGTGGCGACTCCCTGCTCGGGATTTTGTAAGCTCATCCGTCTGACTGTCTCTTTTTTTGTCGTCAAAACCTCATGCAACTCCCTGATCATGTCTGGAACAGGCCGTTTACTGATGAAGATGGAATCAAACTGCCCCAGCACCTCGGGGTAGTTCCGAAGACAACTCCTTGCTTCCCATAATAGTCTCTCCGCAAAAGCAGGATCAGCGGTGTTCTTGAGCATCTCGGCCATTAAGGTGTTGTATCTTCGCTGATTTGCCTCATCGACATGTTGCTACGACCGTTGTTAGATACTAGGATTCAGAAACGTAGAGAATCACACTGCTGATGCTCGCATGAATGGTCCTAGAATTCGTCCAGCGTACCTGGATGTCAAACGTCAAATTGACAGTGGGTTCTATAACCGCCCCTTTGAAATCTACTGATGGAAACTGTTTCTGAATGTCTTCGCCATTTTTCATCGACTCGGCAATCATCCCCTCCCGACTTCTGCCGAGAACTTCCGGCTGCTGCGACGCAGCGTCGGATTCGGTGGAGCTCGCGGAGCTGCTCATCATGCGGGACTAACAACAAAATCGTGATTTAAATCCCGAGGCGTCCAGCGATGACTTTTGGTTGCGGAATCAATAGGTTTGGACAAGCTTGAGCTGCCGTCTGAAGTTGCCCCTGTTAGCGCACGTGAAACTGCCAACTTAAAAGTCGCGGAATGGAGTCGGGGCGAACCCCAACCCTTTTATGCATTTGCCGTGCCAGTGACACATGGAAGATCGGCTACCAATTTGGCGAGAGCGACACCGCGCCGGCAAAACGGTGGCGTTTGCCGATGAAGTCACACCCGCCCTGTCATTGGTGATTGTGTTCAACCTGCATGCGCTGTCAGCCCTTTTAGCATCAATCGTTCCCTAGCGGCTTGGCGGATCGACCCGGAGCTGATCCCGAGGTCAGTTGTGAAGAATGATTGCTTCCCGCGCCTCGGCTCGTCTATCCGCTCGTCAACTTCAGGCGGGCTAGTTGGGCTGTGACACGCGCTCAGATTGTCTGGCAAGACGAATGAGTTGAATTTGACTAATGAATAAGCATTTTGTTCATGGCAAATGATTTACAATAGATTAACAATGGCGAGCCGTCACTGGCCTTTGACGAACCAGACCCTTTCCTTTCTCGATTGTTTTGATATGTTGAAAGCGAAAAGAAGGATTATTCGGTCATCTGAAGAAAACGTCGCTGATACTCAAACATGCCGACTAAAATGTGCCCCTCGCTCTTTTGGCACCCCTTAACAATTCGCCGGTCGAGAAGGCCTAGCGGGGCGCTTCGCACCCTTCTTGCGCTCTGCTTCGCTAGGTTCGGCGGGTTCGGCGGGCTCTTCGCATTCTCTTGGTTTCACAACCGGGTTCAGAATGTCTTCCGGGGCGATGGCTGGTGCTGCTTCTTGAACGGATCGATCTTCGATGCTTAGGCGGCGATGGAGGCTCTGAAGAATGTGGGTGTCGATGGTGAAAGCCAGTCCAGTGGAGGCGAGGGTGGAAAGGAGTACAATTGATGAGACCTTCATGGTTGTGGATCGAAGGTGCTTTCGAGGTTTTGTGTTGTTGCAGATAAGATGACACGGCCAACGGCTGATATGAGGGTTGTAAGTAATCAGATGGCAAAGCGCAGGAAGTGATAAAGCGGACCAGGCGACTTAAGTATGCTATGTTGGGGACGTGATGTGTGTATATTGTTTTGAAATACTTATGGTAGGCCTGGTGACTTCAGGGGTTTCGGCGTCGCCCGAGATCGTCGGCCTGACTCGCATGGGCTATGCACAGCCTTACAGAAATTAATGCGCTGGATGTTGTGGGTTACCAGCGTACTTTTTATAGTTTGGCTGAAGTTTCGTCGTCATAAGTATTGGGATCTGCCTTATTGTTGTCATTCACCATATTTTGATGAGGTTGAGCAAGCGCAACATCGGAGGCCGCGGGAATGGCCTCATTCTGCGTGTTTTGTCACAAACCCGAGGCCTCTACATCCGAGCCTAATGGTTTGCGCTCGGGGTTAAGCGACCTTCCTTGAACTTGATGGGGAAAAACCCACCAGACTATCGTAGTCAATGGGTAGTATCACATCAAAGTAGTTGCGTTGTGTCGGCGAATTAAGATAGGTTATCAACAGGTTCTAAATCAGTCGAGAAAAAACAACGTGAAACGAAATTGACGATGGCGGGAACGATGGCTGGAACCATGAAAATCATGGGACGAAAGATATTTTTCAACCAATGGAAGGCTGATGAGAGGTATTATTTCCAATGGAGATAGTCTCCAGCTTCTATGAATTACGTGCGTCGTCTAGAAAAGGAGTGAGTTAAATTACGCGGCGTGTCCCGATGAATCATTATCGATCGATTACTCAGTGAAAACCTTCAGTTCCACCAAACGGACCTTCTTGCCCTCCTTGGGAGTCACGAGAATTCTGACGGATTCAGTCGAGACACCAGTCCACTTTACGTTGGTGATGCCATTCGCCAGGGGCGCGTCGTACGTTGCGTCGGCTACATCGGTCCATTCGCCGCTCAAAACCTGCAGCTTGTAGCTCGCGGGAACATCGAGGCCCTTCTCCTCGTTCGCGAAGAAAGCGATCTCGGCGCGAGAAATGGTGACAGCTGCGCCAAACTCTGTGCTGACCCATTCCTCAGTTGTGCTGCCCTCAGGGGTATCGAGACCATTAGCAATGGTGTCCTGGGTCCAAAACCAGATGCGGCCGTCAAAGACGTCATGGAGGCGGTTGATGTCGTAGTTGACAACGGAAGTGTTGACAATAGGAGGAGTGATGTCAGCCTGAAGCTGGATCGCTTGGTCGAAGGGGCGGGAGACGGAGACGGTTGAGCGAGCAATGTCGACTGTCAGGCGCTCGAGCTTGTCGGATGAAGCGACCACCTGGCCGCCGACCTCAACGCGCAGACCAGCCTCGCCGTAGCGGTCACCAGTCGCATCCCACTGGACAGCAATCTCTTGACCGTGGTAGAGAATACGCTCGGCGCGAAAGTAGGAGATGGACGATGGGTCAGCCAGGGGGTTAACTTCCAGAACGTCGTCCGCGCGAGGACGAATACCGACGAAGCCGGACAGAATCAAGTCAACGTAGCCGGAGTGGAAGTAGTGGTGCGAGCGTCCCAGTCCGACAATCGGCTCACCGGTGTCAGGGTCGTAGTTCTCCTCAATGTCCAAGATGTTGTCGAAGTGCTTGTTGTAGTGCTGGTTGGCATACTGCTTGAGCAGCCTGGTGTAGTCGCCAACACTGACAAGCGAGGATGAGTTGGGGTAATGGTCGAGAACATTGGCGAGCGAAGTCAGGACCTGGGTCGTCTGGTAGGGCCAAGAAGGGCCATTCCAATGGCACTCAGTTTGGGTGCCCTCGTAGCGCCACACGCGCATATAATATTCGTACGAGGGTTCGACAGTGCGCAGTCCGAAGGGGCCGCCGAGTTGATCAGAGCTAAGAACGTGCTTCCACGCCTCGCCGAACTTGGCATCATCATCGGGAAGATCATGCGCCCAGGGAACAATACCAGCGAGCTCACGTCCTCGGATGAAGTCCCAGTAAGTCACGTTCTCGTTGTTGACGAAGAAGCGATCGATGAAGTGCTCGAATGTGGAGTTCCACAAGTCTCTCTGGAGAGTCTCCTTGATGGCGTCGGCGCGGTTGTTGTATTCCGCAACAACGTCGTCAAGACCACCCTTCAAAGCGGCGATCTTAGCGATAGCCCGCGCATTGGCATATTGGTAGGTGTTGATGGTAGGGCGGAAAGCCTGGCCTCCACCAAAGCCATCATACCCACCAGACGCGTCAATACTGGCGATAGTATACTCGGTCGCGTCGGCGAGGGGTTCGATCCAGAAAAGCCCCTTTGACTCATCGTAATGGTCTCCAACCCATTCGTTGTAAACCCTTTGCATGTCGTCAAGGAGCGAGATGGCGAGTTCGGGGTTTCCGTCGACGAGATAATTCCTCCAGACACCATCTGCCAAGCTTTCGGAGTACTGACGCGGGTTGCTGTCGGCGCTGTACATGAAAGTCGCATGATCTTGCTTGAAGCGAGGGTCGCGGCACCATCGGCCTTCTGAAAGATGGAAGATTGCGGCGCAATTGTTGGAAGCCCACGGCTGCGTCTGCCAGCCAACGTTGTCGATGAATTCTGTAGTGATGTAACCGTACTTGGTTCCGACATCGCGTTGGTGAGTGCGGAAAACATTCCAGCGGTAGTAGTAGACTTCGGTGATTTCCGAGTCGCTCGATTCGAACAGCGGAATACGGTCATGGTACCAGGGCGCATCGTTGCCGAAGTACTTCTCGGTAACAGCGTCCACGTCCAGTGCGGCCTGGGCCAAGCGCGCAGTCAACGGGACCGCCGCAAGAGTTGACGAAAGCTTCATTTTGTCGGACTGCTGGGCCTTTGGTGGGCAGCTAATGATGGCTGAGAGCTTGTGAATCCTCGGTCTGTTGACATGGTGATTTGCGGCGACCAGCTAGACGACTTTATATTACCAAAACTCCTCGCTGGCGTGATTCGATGGCAAGCTTTGTCCCCGGATATTACCATACTCGGTCGCCCCGACGGGTTCATGATCACAAACAACCGACCCGGCGTCTTGGCTTCGTACAGCAATTTCCGTCGCGAGCGGATCGCGGATGCGCGCTTCTTGGAACCTGCATAATGCCCTGAGCTAAGCACACCCGTGCCAATCGTACCGAACCGCTTCCGCTGGGATGTCATAGAACTACCGCGTCCTAACGGGTGACGATGACGACTGCGCGGGGAAGAGTTCGGGCCACAATAGGGGCTGGGGTCCCCGCATGTTCGGTCGATTAGCGCGCGAATGGAACCCCGCGACTCGAGTCGTGATTTACAGGGGGTAGATGATTAAGATATGCCGACGGAAAGATCGACGGGAAATCGAGAATACGAATATTTAGCGTTGTAGCTATGCATGAACAGTTCATGTAAGATGCTAAGCGTGGTTCAGGTACGAGATGACAGATTTAGCAGTTGAGCCTTTTGTGTCACGGTTCGAGTCTCGTCGATGGTAGTGTGTTTGAATATGGTGAAGCCCCTCGCCCTGGTCGTGTTACGGCTCTTGCACCAAGCGAGCTCAACTGATCGAGGCCAGAATGCTGGAGCTTTGAGCGTATAAAATGACCCTACATAGTGGTTGTTGTATGTCTGACCAAGTCTTGTTGCAGGAATAAGAGAAAAGCCTGGCGCGACAAACATCGACCGCCTACCGACGTGTCCTCAGCCACATGAAGTGTTGAAGTGAGAAGCCACGTTGACGAGCATATACTGAAATGGTCGTAGGCCAGGCGGCCGAGAGCTATGCAGCACAGCAGCGCGTACGCACCCGAAGGCGCGTAGAGCTACCTTAACTACGTAACTCTATGGTTTTAAAGCCTACGATTTTAAAAAAAAAAAGAAAAAACTCTTTATATTCTTTATAGATCTAAAATAAAAAGAATAAGATAAAAAGCTTAAAAATCTACTAAAAAATAAGTAAATTAAGCCTCTTATCTCTAT